TCTCTCTCTCTCTCTCGCAAAGTAGAGTCCAACATGTCAATCCCGTGAATAAGGATGACCTGACACGGTACAATTGACCACCAGCATCCGCCGATCAGATACCGCCGTGTGTCATCATAATGTCGTGATGAGTTAAGCTATCAGTGTAGAGAATGTCCGGGTAGCGACCGACTGTCTCAACCCAAACGGCGCCCTATCTGGGCCCAGCGCGCGCCCTATCTGGACACAGGTTGTTCCGGCCCACTCGACTGGTTGTCTTCTTTGTTCCCTGTCGCCGTCTCCTCCTTCAGTTATCGCTAACGACACCGTTATCATCCCTGGTATGTCACTGTCGCCACGGTCCAACCCGCGAACTTTGACCTTTTGGTGGCTAATGACTGCCAGGACACCCGACATGACGACGTCACTCTTTTGGGAGGGGGTTGGGTTGGGGTGCGGGGGATGCGCCCACTTGGGGTTGGTGGGGATGTGGGAAGGGGATGTGGAGTCCACTTTAGGTTGATGGGAAGGGGTGGGGGAATGTTGTGCCCACTTTGGTGTATGGGTGGGATAGGGGATGTGAGAGGCTGGGGGGTGAGTGCCCACTTATTAGAGGAGATGGGGGTGAAAGAGGGGCGGTGTGACCAGCTAAGGATTTTTTGGGTCCATTTAGAAAGCCGGTACACCATATTGCCAATGTTCGATAAAGGCTCTCTGTTTGGAATGCACATCAGCCGTCTCCAATTTTTGTAGCGTCAGCATGAGGATAGCAGTGACGTGTTAAACTTATTCTATGAATAGGGGGTTGACGGAGGGGGGAAGGGGGAAGGGGGGGGGCTTATGTAGCCAAGTGTTCCTATAAATGTATAGCACGATGATATCACCGGCCGCGTATCGAACTATCGAAGTTTATCATCCTCATTTGACATTAGATATACATAATATAGTGTGTTATGTATTTCTCTACCTGAGAATTGCAAAGTTCTATCTGCTCAGAACCTAGTTTTGAAAAATTTGACGCCAAAAATTTTGAATTTCAAACGTCAAGCATTTTCGAATGCAATTCTTTGAATATCTTGAAAACGACTCCGAAAAATCGTATTAAGGTTTTGATACAGCTAATAGAACATTTGGTTTCTGACCTCATGATCTTAGTAACTCAAAACGATCCAATATAGAACTTTGAAATTCCAAGGCAGCAATTTTTTTTAGGGGGGAACAAGGATTCCAATGTCGAATCGACGCACACTTCGAACGTCTGTTGGACTTGAACCAAGTCGCCAGGTTCTGCAAACACCATCAGCTGACTCAGAGTCGCGGCCCTGACATGTTGATCGGCGATCTACGTCGGCTGTGAGGGGTGCATGTTTACGTTATCTCTCTACACATGCTCCTTGTGGCATGCTGGTGGGAAAGAAAAAAAACTAGGACAAATAAACTAACAAACGAGAAACAAATAAACGGACAAAAATCCGTTTGACAAATCGCTTGATTGGTTTTTCGCGCGGGGTATGTATAACTGGGGTTCGTGTCTACGACCAAGGGTTTGTCAGGAGAGGGAAGGTTTAAAATATCTTTTGCAGGTGGTTAGATAGAGGGCACTGCTGTTAGGTCCAGGTTCTTTTCTGTTTCGTATGTCTTTATTGTTTTGTCTGTCTTGCTGTTTCTTAGCTCTAAATGCCGTGGGATTTGTTTGTTGTTGTTGTTTTTTTGTGGGGGTGGGGGGGTTGTTTTTTCTTTTTTCGTCGTTTTTAAAAAACATTTTGGTGGTCATGTTTGTTTTTTGTGATGCTTTCTACTCACATCTGTATAAACCTATTCAGTTATCAATTATCATGCCAGAAATTGTTTCTGTCTGTCTCTCTCTCTCTCTCTCTCTCTCTCTCTCTCTCTC